GGCATAGAGACAGAGAGAACTGCGTCCAGACACACATGGTCAAATTTTAAGTGAAAATGCAATGTTAACTTTTCAAAAATTTAAACAAATAGGAAACAAATCCGCTCGATGAATGCAACAATACAATGTGGCGGAACAAAAATATAACGAAAGTGTCATTTTCTCTGAACATAAGAAAAAAATTAATTATAATTATTATCAGAAATAATATTTTAAGTGCGAAGGGCAATAACTCCATCTGAAATTGTACTTTGCGACCGGTATTCGAACTCGATCAGAAACCCCGTAGGTAATACTATGTAGTTACACACCAGATGTGAAGTCATTTTTTCCGAACATAACAGAAAAACTGACATCTTGCACAATGTTCTAAGTGCAGAGGGGGCAATAAATCCACTTCAGTTTTTGACTGGGATTTGAATTCGATCTGTAATCCTGTTGTTTGAAGCTACCATAAAACTCAAAGAAGAAACAATTATCATAAAAAGTGTCACGTTCTCCTAAGTTGCGTGGCGAAACAATAGAAATGCCGTAGGTATGCTTAAGAAGCAACACGTTTTTTTTCTTTTGGCAAAGTCCAAGTGCTTTCATCAAAAACACAGCATATACCTGTCCGGCTTTTAATACAGATGGCGACTCGGACAACAGTGAAATGACTGTATCTTGTAGAATCTCTCTTGATTACAAGGCAGTGTATATATCAATTAAAACAGTCGTTATCGCGCTGTATGGAGTCATTGAGGTCATTGTGTATTTTACAGGAATTCGACTTTAGAGTTGGCATAAGTTCCAAGACCTTGTAGATTTTTATATCACTACATCTTGTTTAAATGTTTTTGTTGCCCGTAAAATTATTATCTAAACCGTATGTCTGTATTATGCAATACATATGATTTATTTTAATTACGTTTATTCAAATTGATATCATTTATTTACGGCTGTAGTAGCATCTGTGTACGATATTATAAGGGATGGATACAGATGCTGCACAGGGCCTATACATGATAAGGGTAGTACTGATACGCAGGATCATATTGGCACGCGCGCATGCTGGCTCACGTGTAATGGTTATGCGCAATCATTTTGCTTAATTATCTCTCATCACCTCTCTTCAATTAGTGCACGGCATTGTTTGTAAAGGGGAGGAGGGGAACTTCCGTGTATGTGTATGACGTCAACACAGATATAAACCTATACCACAACACTCCCAGACATACAGGGAAACACTGATATACAGCTGGGTGGCTCCAGTGATTATACAATACATACACCTATATCTATGATAAAATCAATGTACGTGTATTCTCTTATATACATTCCTACAAGTGTGCCATCGTCTTGGGGTCATCTAGCACTCTTCAATATAAAGATATGCATTCTTTTGTAACTATAAATGAATACTTTCACTGAGTAGTCTTCACTAATTCTTTGTAAAAGTAAACCAGTTCTATGATACCGGAAAAAAATACAAGACATAAAAATACGTTTCAGCAAGAAAAATATGATGTTTCGCTAAGGTACCACGGTATGACAGGATCGCACGGGAGATAAACAAACTGATCTGTATTGGCTTAAGACTTCTTGTATTGTATGGGAGCCCTTTCATTTCAGGAACTACACAATATTTGATAGCAAAGAAATACTTTAAACTCACGATGTAAGTTTTTTTTAACCACAGTATTGCTGAGAAAATTACTCTTCATTATGAGAAATTTTGACAAAATGCCACACCATAGAATCTTTCCATGGAAAAAACACTAAGGAAAATACTGACATGTCAATTTAACTCAAATACGAGGGAAATATGAACAAAAGAAAGATTTACACGAATACTCCTGAATAAGTACAATGATAATAAGACCAGGTGTTCTGGTAGCGTATTTAGAATAGATATTTGATTTAGAATCAGGTCTGTACTAATTGATATACGTTTTCTTTTTTCTTAGACGTTTCAAGAGTACAAACACTGTACTAACCCACATTGTATAACGGCCTGGTTGAATGTTATATTACAATATCATAACATACACTAATCTGGGAAATTCTACAATGTAATATTTTAAAAATCTTGTATTTCCGTCGACAGGATTGCAAATTAAACCTTATTCTGATACATAGGTTTATGTAAACATAGATGTTGTTATCTCCTTGCAGACGTAAATACTTATTTACGTATCTTCAGTTGTTTGGTCCTGGTGAAGATTCGCTGTAGACTTTATTGACGTTACTGTGTATTTACTTGAGAATCGCGTGAAGTAGTACTGGTGTGTATATCTGGACTAGCTCTGGTGTTTACTAACATATATCCATTTTCTTACCTTTCTATCTCTACGTTAATAATTAAAATCTAGAACCACTAACAAGAGATGGTGAGAAGGCGACCTGCTCCTCTGAAGTTGCTGCAGAGGTTGCATGCCAGCAGTGGTCGATCTACACCAAGTCAGCGTGTTACCTGAACAATCTATACGTATCATGGGCCAGGTGTAAGCTACCTGCATAACCTGTTTGTACTATTCACGTGTGCGCTACCTGTATGATACATACAATAATCTTTGTGTTGCCAAACCATGTTATTCATGTGAACAAGCATGTATGTGTTATTATCTGTCTGAATCGTCCACGTCTCTGGTATCTGTATAATATATCTGTATCGTCCAGTTGTCCGTTACTTGTTTAATCTGTCTATAGCGTCCAGTTGTCCGTCATCTGTATAATCCATCTGTATCGTCCAGTTGTCCGTTACTTGTTTAATCTGTCTATAACGTCCAGTTGTCCAATATCTGTATAATCCATCTGTATCGTCCAGTTGTCCGTTACTCGTTTAATCTGTCTATAACGTCCAGTTGTCCAATATCTGTATAATCCATCTGTATCGTCCAGTTGTCCGTTACTTGTTTAATCTGTCTATAACGTCCAGCTGTCCGTCATCTGTATAATCTATCTGTATCTTCCACTTTTCTGTTCGTTATATCTACACTTTTTCTTTGCCGTTCCTCTATAATGTACCTGTACCGTCTATTTTCCTAGAAGTTTGACGTCCTCTGAACAACTATAAACTCACTCACAAAGACGTGTGTCTGAATATCGAGATACCAGAGAAGGAAGGGGACAGTATAACCTACATTTACAGAACCGAATGGAAAGTTAGAGAGTAATTTAGATTAAATAAAAGCGACGAGTAGACATTTTGACGATATAATCCATCCAACAGACAAGTCATAGTCCGGTCAACAGATACCATGTTTACGTACTCGACATCAATGTCCAAAAGCATCTCTGTTATAACTTTTTCTCAAATATGATTTTAATGAATAAAATTATTAACATAACATATCCTATATATATATATATGTTAATTCCAGCTTCACAGTCCAGCTGTAGAAGGTAACGTGTTTCTTAACAGCAGATGTCGATTTCACTGAGGTAATCTATACTTTACAATCCAGGTTATATGATCAACACGTGTTTTATTTTTATTATTATTTCAATATAATTCATTCATTTTTTAAAGTTGCTGTCCGTACGGTAAGATCAAAGTTTAGTCATCTTCACCTCATTTGTCATCTGACGCCAGTACTATTCCATTTAATATATCGATACACGTGTTCACCGCTTGACCACAACGGAAATAATTATCACCAGTACCCAGATGGTCATAAACCACCATGACTACTAGAATGAAGCTGTGTTAACTTGATCTTAGAGACAAAACATATTTCAGAAATGCCTAGTAGTGATTAAAGTCTGCCCGAGCACCAATCAAACACAGTAGATCTGCAGTTCAAGAGGTCATTTCTGTCTTTAGTCCTCTCGAGTTCCTGAGTTTATTCGTATTGTGTGGCAAATTGATGGCTGATCATATTATAGAGAAAAATATGGTTTTACATATAATGTATCAGTATAGACTGCGATATTTGTAGTCGTTATCGCCGTCATATTATCATACGTATTTATTGTTTTTCTTGTGCATCAAAATAAGGTATTTTGATTCGTATAGTCAATACTGTGAAATATACTTAAAAACCTTATACATTTTACTAAGTATTCGTAATTGGTTCGTCGATGTTTATAATATTTCATTTTGTATATTTTAATTAATATGAAATCAACATATTTGGAGTTTTTGGATAATTTTTTCACAGACTATAAGTTGATGAGGAGTGTTCCGAGACAAACCTAGTCACCTCTGTTCCTTGACCTATTCATTATCTAGCTAAGAAAGTCCAGGATATCCTACTTTGTGGTGAATTACAATAACACTGAGGCTAACAAGCTCTGCTCCTATCACGCTAAAAGTCGGCTACTACGTTTTCTTCACGTAGTGTAAATAGAGGTTATCGGAAGGTGGATATTTTGTTACTCGCAAAGACCGGGGTTTGGCACAATTCATCAGAAACCGGCAGTCGTGTATTACACTACTAGGGGAACGTCCTGCAGATAAGACGTCTTAGTAACTGAAGTTCTTATGGTGTTTTACACAGTCGTAAACGTATACAAATGTCAGTGTCGAAATGTCACTAGGAAACAGACACTCGACTATAATTTATATGTATATCGAGATTACCTTCGGTTATCTTTGGAAACCCCAGAACTGATACCAATCGTAAATACATGGGTCATATATATAACTGCTTACCTCATCATAGACCTTTTAACAACTCGTTTCAGCAAATTCAGTTTATTTCCTAGACCAATAAATGATAAAGAATGCAATTTCTATTTTTCGTAAGTTGAACACCAAAATAATGACTCGGAAATCTTTCAAGGTTAGCGGTGTTGTAAATATCACAGTAAATAACACTAGGTCACGACAGAGAACAAAGACAAAGCCTTTTTTCTTTGTACTCCTTTCGGAAGGCGTAAAAGTCAGTAATATAGCCATCATGATAAAAAGCCAAGTAGACCCAAAGATCTTCATCTTCAAGATATACTCATAGATGTCACTGTGCATTCCGAGTCACGGCGGTCCCAGTGTGTTCTCGTGCAGGCAAGGAGTTGTGTTAGTACACGGTGATGACCTTGACCGAAGTGTCAAAGACATCAGATGCAAGTGCTTTGTGTGCAAGAACAAACAGCGGTATGGAAATGATGGCTATGTTGCCATCTGGGGAATGATACAGGTAGATGTAAACAACAGTAACCTTGACACAATGCAAAACCATAGTGAGTTAGTGCTGTTGGCATTCACCAGATGTTGGAACGAGGTTCTCTGTACGCATGATATCTTCTTTAAAGCTATATATAGTACGAGCATGAGTGACACGTGTTTAATAAAAACCTATATTTTTACTCCATGTGTTGACTTAGACAAATTTAAAAAACGGTAATAATAATGTCAACACCTCCCAAAACTATGAACAGAAATGATAGTATAACCCATGCGATATTTATTTCCTTCTGTCAAATGTTCTGACCACAATACATGAATGGCCACTTTGTGACCTTGTGATTTAATTTTAAAGCATGTTTTTTTTATTCTTACTATTGGAATGTAACATTTGTAAGAAACGCTTTTTGTACATTATTTATATATGTTACTTAAAGAAGCTTAACCATTGACAGCACTAAAGGAAAAAATCGTATTTTTCTATGTCACACATACATATTATGTACATATTCCTTTTCCTACAGCGTAGGTGTAAACTCTTATGACGTTTTTTCTTTCTTTTTCAAATGACAGGATGATAATAAGACAGACGCCATTCGAAAAAAACCAAACAAACAAACAAAAAACAAAAATCTACACTTTGTTTCGTTTCCCTTACTCACGTTCTTACTATCATGTTTCTGCTCTGTTTTTGCATCCCTCTGTTCCTGTAACTGTTTCTCATGTGTTTGGCGTCTCTCTGTTCCTGTAACTGTTTCTGATGTGTTTGGCGTCTCTCTGTTCATGTAACTGTTTCTGATGTGTTTGGCGTCTCTCTGTTCATGTAACTGTTTCTCATGTGTTTGGCGTCTCTCTGTCCCTGTTAGTTTTTCTGATGTGTTTGGCGTCCCTCTATTCCTGTAACTGTTTCTCATGTGTTTGGCGTCTCTCTGTTCCTGTAATTGTTTCTGATGTGTTTTGGCGTCTCTCTGTACATGTAACTGTTTCTCATGTGTTTGGCATTCCTCTGTTCCTGTAACTGTTTCTGATGTGTTTTGGCATCTCTCTGTTCCTGTAACTGTTTCTGATGTGTTTTGGCGTCTCTCTACCTGTAACTGTTTCTGATGTGTTTTGGCGTCTCTCTGTTCCTGTAACTGTTTCTCATGTGTTTTGGCGTCTCTCTGTTCCTGTAACTGTTTCTCATGTGTTTGGCGTCTCTCTGTTCCTGTAACTGTTTCTGATGTGTTTTGGCGTCTCTCTGTTCCTGTAACTGTTTATCATGTGTTTTGGCGTCTCTCTGTTCCTGTAACTGTTTCTGATGTGTTTTGACGTCTCTCTATCTGTAACTGTTTCTGATGTGTTTTGGCGTCTCTCTGTTCCTGTAAGTGTTTCTGATGTGTTAGGCGTCTCTCTGATCCTGTAACTGTTTCTCATGTGTTTGGCGTCTCTCTGTTCCTGTAAGTTTTTCTGATGTGTTTTGGCGTCTCTCTGTTCCTGTAACTGTTTCTGATGTGTTTTGGCGTCTCTCTGTTCCTGTAACTGTTTCTCATGTGTTTTGACGTCTCTCTACCTGTAACTGTTTCTCATGTGTTTGGCGTCTCTCTGTTCCTGTAATTGTTTCTGATGTGTTTTGGCGTCTCTCTGTACATGTAACTGTTTCTGATGTGTTCTGGCGTCTCTCTATTCCTGTAACTGTTTCTCATGTGTTTGGCATTCCTCTGATCCTGTAACTGTTTCTGATGTGTTTTGGCGTCTCTCTGTTCCTGTAACTGTTTCTGATGTGTTTTGGCATCTCTCTACCTGTAACTGTTTCTGATGTGTTTTGGCGTCTCTCTGTTCCTGTAAGTGTTTCTGATGTGTTAGGCGTCTCTCTGATCCTGTAACTATTTCTGATGTGTTTTGTGTCTCTCTGTTCCTGTAACTGTTTCTCATGTGTTTGGCGTCTCTCTGTTCCTGTAATTGTTTCTCATGTGTTTGGCGTCTCTCTGTTCCTGTAATTGTTTCTCATGTGTTTCGCGTTCCTCTGTTCCTGTAACTGTTTCTGATGTGTTTTGGCGTCTCTCTGTTCCTGTAACTGTTTCTCATGTGTTTGGCGTCTCTCTGTTCCTGTAACTGTTTCTGATGTGTTTGGCATCCCTCTGTTCCTGTAACTGTTTCTGATGTGTTTTGGCGTCTCTCTGTTCCTGTAACTGTTTATCATGTGTTTTGGCGTCTCTCTGTTCCTGTAACTGTTTCTGATGTGTTTTGACGTCTCTCTATCTGTAACTGTTTCTGATGTGTTTTGGCGTCTCTCTGTTCCTGTAGCTGTTTCTGATGTGTTAGGCGTCTCTCTGATCCTGTAACTATTTCTGATGTGTTTGGTGTCTCTCTGTTCCTGTAACTGTTTCTGATGTGTTCTGGCGTCTCTCTGTTCCTGTAACTGTTTCTGATGTGTTTGACGTCTCTCTGTTCATGTAATTGTTTCTGATGTGTTCTGGCCTCTCTCTGTTCCTGTAACTGTTTCTGATGTGTTTGGCGTTCCTCTGTTCCTGTAACTGTTTCTGATGTGTTTTGGCGTCTCTCTGTTCCTGTAAGTGTTTCTGATGTGTTTGGCGTCTCTCTGTTCCTGTAAGTGTTTCTCATGTGTTTGGCGTCTCTCTGTTCCTGTAAGTGTTTCTGATGTGTTTTGGCGTCTCTCTGTTCCTGTAAGTGTTTCTCATGTGTTTGGCGTCTCTCTGTTCCTGTAACTGTTTCTGATGTGTTCTGGCGTCTCTCTGTTCCTGTAACTGTTTCTGATGTGTTTGACGTCTCTCTGTTCCTGTAAGTGTTTCTGATGTGTTTGGCGTCTCTCTGTTCCTGTAAGTGTTTCTCATGTGTTTGGCGTCTCTCTGTTCCTGTAACTGTTTCTGATGTGTTCTGGCGTCTCTCTGTTCCTGTAACTGTTTCTGATGTGTTTGACGTCTCTCTGTTCATGTAAGTGTTTCTGATGTGTTTGACGTCTCTCTGTTCCTGTAACTGTTTCTGATGTGTTTGGCGTTCCTCTGTTCCTGTAACTGTTTCTGATGTGTTTTGGCGTCTCTCTGTTCCTGTAACTGTTTCTGATGTGTTTTGGCGTCTCTCTGTTCCTGTAACTGTTTCTCATGTGTTTGGCGTCTCTCTGTTCCTGTAAGTTTTTCTGATGTGTTTTGGCGTCTCTCTGTTCCTGTAACTGTTTCTGATGTGTTTTGGCGTCTCTCTGTTCCTGTAACTGTTTCTGATGTGTTTTGGCGTCTCTCTGTTCCTGTAACTGTTTCTGATGTGTTTTGGCGTCTCTCTGTTCCTGTAATTGTTTCTCATGTGTTTGGCGTCTCTGTTCCTGTAATTGTTTCTCATGTGTTTGGCGTTCCTTTGTTTCTGTAACTGTTTCTGATGTGTTTTGGCGTTTCTCTGTTCCTGTAACTGTTTCTGATGTTAGTCTCTCTGTTCCTGTAACTGTTTCTCTCTCTCTGTTCCTGTAACTGTTTCTGATGTGTTAGGCGTCTCTCTGATCCTGTAACTATTTCTGATGTGTTTGGTGTCTCTCTGTTCCTGTAACTGTTTCTGATGTGTTTTGGCGTCTCTCTGTTCCTGTAATTGTTTCTCATGTGTTTGGCGTCTCTGTTCCTGTAATTGTTTCTCATGTGTTTGGCGTTCCTTTGTTTCTGTAACTGTTTCTGATGTGTTTTGGCGTTTCTCTGTTCCTGTAACTGTTTCTGATGCGTTAGGCGTCTCTCTGTTCCTGTAACTGTTTCTGATGTGTTTTGGCGTCTCTCTGTTCCTGTAACTGTTTCTGATGTGTTAGGCGTCTCTCTGATCCTGTAACTATTTCTGATGTGTTTGGTGTCTCTCTGTTCCTGTAACTGTTTCTGATGTGATTTGGCGTCTCTCTGTTCCTCTAACTATTTCTGATGTGTTTTAGCGTTTCTACTGTTGCTATTGTATTTTTGTATCGATATGAGCATACTGTACCATAGTTCGCAGTAAAAACGGGCAAGCGTCCTATTGATAATGCCGGAATGGTAAGGCTAATTACAGAGTCGGAAAAGTTCATAATTCCGGCAGAAGTCAAATATAAACAAATGCTACTAAGGTTAACGATATCGGACAACAGGGAAACGCGCGTTGAAATATACATCGTATTTTAGAGTATATCTTCCGATGGTCTACTATGATTAAATCCGTCGGGGACCCGACTTGTCGACTGAGAGAAGTAGAAAAAAAGGACATTAAAATGTGATGGTATCGCCGTGTATAAGATACGCGAATAAACATATGTAAATACATGGAAAAACTACAAACCCGTATCCCTCCTATGCTGAATCAGACTGTAGTACACAAGGTTATCGAAAGGTCAATATCTGGCGTTCTGTTGCATACTAATGTCAATCGCAATTAGAACACACGTAAGCGAAGTATGGTCGACTGTACTGAAATCTCTCAGCCTTTAGTCCGCTCAGCGCTTGCTCACATACAGACGTATTTATTTTGAGATATTTTTTTTCTGTGCGGTCTATGTAAAATCAGATTCTGAGGATGGGCAGTAGAGGTCAGCTTACTTGACCGCTACTTTCAATTAGTTTTCTCGTGTCAAAACATACCAATCCTGTCGAGGATCCGGTATGGACATTCCAAAATGGTGGAGGAACAGGAATCAATTAAGCTAATTTTATTGAAATTTTGGCGAAATGTAGGCGTAAACATCTCAGGTTTCTGATATGATTCATATAACGGAAGGACAGTGGTATAATTAGTTAAAACCTATACATCTCATGTGGGTTTTTTATAAATGTATTACACCTATAGCATGTTACGGAGATATAACACAGCTGAAGTTCCCGGATGTACACTTGAACACGGTTCACAACACCTGTACATAAATCAGTATGCTTTTAGTATAATATATACACTTAATTTATATTATTTTTGAGCTTATATTAATCACTCTTGTTAGCCCGGATGAAAGCACGCAACTGGTCTTTGCGTGGGAGGAAACCTGGTAACCCGTGGAAAACACATGTGGTTGGACAGGTAACCTCCAAACCTTTTCACGTCCGTTCCAAGATTCGAGTCCCAGATACCTCTGTGAAAGACGAGTGCGTTTTACCACTGCGCCGACTGACCAACCATAATTTTAATATGAGCCAGCCTTTATTGTAATATGTTCTAGTCGGCTCATGTTCGACTCCTGACGTCGGCGACATCGTGTGTCGAACATTATACGGAAGTGCTTTTTCATAAATTAATATTTTCTGATGGCATTTTCCTGCATAAATTCACCATTTATATAGGAGGAAAAACATGTTTGCCCAATACTACAAAATAATTAACAAATTTACGGAACGAAGCGCATGATAGGACCAATGTTATCTAATTGAGGATTAAATTATAATTTGTCAGGAAAAGATTCACATATATTTTGATAGTATAAACATTCACATGGGTAGCCGAGTGACGCCCGATCAGAAGTAAATAGGCACAAACCTGAATATAGGGACACATGCCTGCTATAGTGAGTTTTCTTCGTTCTTCATTAAATCAAAACTTTTATAAAAATTAATTTAATTTTATCAACATATTATCAATACTGATTTTAAGGATATTGTTCTTTTATATATTCTTTTGTTCTTAAATTTTTGAAAACGCCTCGTTTAGACAATAAACATTATTGACAGTGTTACCGTCATGTGAAAAAATCACATCCGTTACAGGGGCGACGAGTATTTTAACGATGTACGATTTAATCAAATCAAAATAGTTCATGTTTATATTACCACGTTGAACATGAGTTAAGACGGCAGCCGCTCTGCCTGTTGTCCCTTTTATGGGATGGCATGATGTTATGTTTTAGCTTCGTATCTGACTTGATGGAGTACAGTGTGACGTCGACGGGACGTATCAGATCTCGTATCGCCTGATACATCGCGAGACTTTATCTCGTTTCAATGCCGTAGACACTTGGTAAATATTCTGGAAGAAAACCAAAATATTTCTGCTGATAGAAAGTCTCGACTTTGCCGAAAGATGACAGTCAAAGAAAGAAATCAAATACAAAGCTAACGGCATCCGAATACCAAAGCTGAAAAACCCACGAAAACCTGGCCAATGCGGGATGATATACATTTCAAAAAGTTAAAATTTATTTCAATTTTATAAGTGAGCACTGCTGACTTTTTACGGCGTTTATATCTTTTATCTAAACTGTCAAAACATCACTCTCCCCACGTCAAAACCAACCTAGATGGTTTAGCTGTAGTTTTCTAGACTTGGCGGAGAAATAATTTACAGTAAAAACCTCGCATTTTCCTACTCTAAATCCCTACTTTTGCCAAGACACTTGAAAGACTCTGTTTAAAACATGACAAAACGATTTTAACAGTTTGGTACGTTTATCTCAGAGAGAAAGAAATCTTGTGACTGTGTTTTGTTGTGTGAAAATGCATTAATTGTGTACATGTGCCCTGCTATTTTGAGATTTTGGAAACGATGCTGGCGGTTATCCTATCTTTAAACATTTTATATCAAACAACCGCTACTTCACATTTCACTTTAGATAAACATTAACGTACTGAAGTGTAACACAACAAGAATTCACTGTTTTAATTCTATAATTTTAAGCAAGCTATCTGAAATAGATATTGCTAAATCAGTGATCGAAACGTGACGTCATAGCTAATATCTAGAAAAAGAAAACAAATTAATCAGATCAATTGATAAAAGAGAAATAGCGCAGTGTACACATATTTCACTGTGTAAGTTTGATGTTTTAAAAAGTTTGCAAGCTGACAATTCATAATGGTACTGGTATATACCAAGGAGATCACATATGTAGAAGTCAAAATGTATATTTCTGGTAAAGGTATCTCGTTCTTTAGCAAATCATTTTCCAAATTAAGCATTTGGCAAACCACTGCCGATTGTTTAAACATATCCCAAGACCGTATCTTGTAGATAATAACAGCCCCCCTTTTTTTTTTTTTTTTTGTATTTTCGCAAATTAATTCTTCAGTTTTCCCTTTTTGTGCTGTCTGTTCATATCTTGATAACGCGTAACGATTTCCATACTTCAGAAATATACACACAGACTATCGCTCCAAATGTAAAAATATTCAAATTCTTTACTTACGGAAATGATTTGTTTTAGAGTCGCTAGATACATGTCCGATATGGTCCCGGGTAATAGTCCGGTGAGGGTATTATCTGTATTTGGTGATATATTTTAGTTTCGAAAGTTTTACAAAGTTTGTCTCGAAGGGAATGTATGAGAATATGTTACCCATTGGGTTTCGGTCACGTGGACGGACATGGCAGCTTATCCTTTCGTATATATAAGACTGACTCCTGTTTCGAAGACATGTGATATATAACATAATAGATAATTGCCTTATATGGTGTGAGTATTTCCGGATTTCTATTAATTACCTCCTTTTTGTTTTTAGTTGTGCACATACCAACAGCATTGTATACAAATAACTTGACTAAATGTGACAAGTTCTATCTACATGTAAGAACCTCTCTGATTTGAAAGAATGTTCCTAAAGCGGCAGAGACGTTGTCAACATACCATCTCTCAAATTTTAATGAGATCGATTAAATCAAATATGTAAAGAATATAAGATCAGTCAATCAGAGGCCGTGGCGGCCATTTTGAATGTAGTATCGTCATTCGTGTTTTAATTCGTGAAACTTTATAAATTTCGCGCCATTTAAATCAAATAGGACGTAAGTAACACTTCAATATATCATGTTATTTAAAGCGTTTATAGGGCTATTCTTTATAACCGTAAGTCAACCTTAAATGGTTCACAATATTTACGATATTCCTATGCAACACAGCCTCCTTGCGTAAGTACCCCCTTCGATAGTATAATCAGTGTAATTACTTATGTCACAATGACACCATTTAGCAGCAAATTACCAATTATCTGTCGTTATTTGTGTAACTTGGTATTCATCACGTTGCGGTTGGTTAAAATCATCTGTATACCGTTAAATGCTGTATGGAGTTTGTTTATGATTTAGTATGTGTTGAAACCCGCGTGTTCTTTTCAATTTTCTTCACATGTTTTTTTTTCTTTCTTGAATTTCACAAGTTATGTGTTAAACAGAGAGTAATTAGGTTTTAAAACTATGTCGAGTTACCTCGGCGGCCTAGTGGTAAAATGTGAAGACCACACCAGACATTTGTCCGACATTTTTACAGAGCTACAAATTTGACGCATACATGTATCATATAACACTTTAAGTCGAGTTCCCTTTCAACACTTTGGAAGAACTCTATATATGATATATATATATATAGCCGTTACTTGGGAAGGTAACACTGTCTGTTTGTAATATCACAACCGTTTGTTTTAAACACCCCGTCGCTACCGTCACTGACAAGCTCACGAGCAACACTCCATTTGTCAAAAGGTTCTCAGATGCCGTTCTATTTTACGCCTCGGTAAGTAGTAGCCATGTTTTACACACGGGAGGCGGGTCCTTGGGCTGTCAGCATTTACTATGGAACTCCGCTGGTGCCCGAATTTATTGTCTGTCGTTATTATACAACCCATCTAAAATATAACATTCGGCTGGGGTGGTCTACGTCTGGTGTGAATCGGCATCACCGACTCCTACCATTTTGTTTCTTTCTACGTTTTCCAGTATTTCATACAAAAAAATTACTTTTCATTAAAAAAATCCAGATAAATTAGTACGATGGGATGAAATT